CAGCAACAAGGTGTACAAGCGTTTGCAAGGTTGAAGGTCAGCAGTATGGACAAGATCAGAGTCTCATTGTTCCAGTGTGGATATCCTGCACAGAAAAACCTCAGCTTGAAAGGTTAACATACGCGTTGATTGATTGTCAGTCGAATGCAACTTTCATCACCGAAAGCCTTAGATCAGCACTGAACATCGACGGAGCAAATAGTCATCTTCTTCTCTCAACAATGCACGAAGAAAATGAGTTAATACAGTGTAAGAAGATTCAAGGAATCAARGTGCAAGATTACAAGCGTCAAGTCTCCATCACACTGCCAAGGATCTTCACGAGACCAGTCATTCCTTGCAAGCCATCCCAGATTCCAAAGCCTGAAATCGCGAGACAGTGGAAACATCTYAATCGAATCGCAGATGAACTGATGCCCTACAGAGATGATATCGAAGTCGGCTTGCTGATAGGCACGAACTGCCCTAAAGCCATCAAGCCTCGAGAAGTCATAGCAGGTTCTGATAACGACCCGTATGGAATAAGAACCGACCTTGGTTGGGGCATCGTTGGACGYGTGTGTAAGAGCCCCATCAATGAAGAGTCACCAGAAGAATCTGATACCAACAATTGGGTCAATGCGACAACAGCTGATCACATTTCCATGGTGCGCGAAGAGCAAAATGATGCCAATAAAGCCACCTTCACGACCGAAACTCACGCAAGAGAGGTCATAAGCCCTGCCCAGGTGAGGGAGATGTTCGAGAGAGACTTCCACGAGAAGCCAGATCCCAAACAACAGCCCATGTCAGCAGACGACCGAGCATTTCTGACGGAAATGAAAAATCAGATTCGCCAAAGGAAAGACGGGCACTAYGAAATGCCTCTCCCTCTAAGGAACAAGGATGTTTGTCTCCCAAACAACAGGTCTCAAGCCCTGAGACGCCTCGCACAGCTCAAAGCGCGTCTGAAAGGGAATGAGAGATTAAGAAGAGACTATCTCGAGTTCATGCGAAAGACGATTGATGAATGTGCAGAGAGAGTTCCGGCCGAAGGCGGCAGACCCACAGGAGGACGTATTAACTATGTTCCCCACCACGGCGTCTACCACGCAAAGAAACCAGATAAGATTCGGGTTGTCTTCGATTGCAGCGCCGTCTACAGAGGCACATCATTGAACAAGAACCTTCTGCAAGGACCCGATCTGACAAACAGCTTATTGGGTGTTCTTTGTAGATTCCGTCAGGAACAAATTGCCTTTTCATGCGATGTGGAAGGTATGTTCCACCAGTTCTATGTCGATGAAGCAGACCGAGACCTTCTTCGGTTTTTCTGGTGGGAAGATGGGAACCTGGACAGCCAACCGATTGAATACCGCATGAATGTCCATCTATTTGGTGCAGCATCATCTCCCGGATGTGCAAATTTCGGTTTCAAGCAAGCTGCGAACGATGGAGAAATTGAATTTGGCCAAGAAGCTGCCAACTTCATTCGTCGAGACTTCTACGTCGACGACGGCCTCGAGTCTGTAGAGACCCCGGAGAAAGCGGTAGAAATTATAAGGAACAGTCAAGCCATATGCGCGAAGGCGGGTCTAAGACTTCACAAGATAAACAGTAACAGCAAGAAAGTTATTCAATCCATCCCAGTTGAGGACAGAGCTAAAAATCTTCAAGACATAGATTTCAACCAAGATCCTCTACCAATCGAACGAACTCTCGGTGTCATGTGGTGTATCGAGACAGATTGCTTCCAGTTTAGGATAATCCTCCAAGATCGTCCTCTAACTAGAAGAGGTATTCTGTCTACTGTTTGCTCAGTATTCGACCCTCTTGGATTCCTGGCTCCCGTGGTCTTGGTCGGAAAACAGATC